AAGTAAAATTTACTACAAAAAGTAGTGATTGTACCGCGTAGTGAGAATTGGGCAACAGATTAGAACTTAAATCATTGAACTGAATTACTTTTAGCTTTTCCTCTGCGAATTATACTTTTCAAACCGAATTGGTGCTGTATGCTATCTTAACTGTTTCCGAACAATTCCGCGAAGCTTGACTGGATTAATTCACTCCTGTTCATTGTATTGACTAGCACTATCAACAGAGTGAAGGCGGCAATTAAAAGGCATGACTATCGTGGATACGTTACAAGGCTAGTAAACTACTCACCTCACTCAGAAGTAAAACGTTCGCGTGTATGGATAGCAAATCCCGCTTCACCATCCTAGGAGGTCAGTGGGGCATGCCTCCCCCCAAAAATTTTAATATTCAGGTCCTCAGAAAGGTGACTTTCGGCATATTATAGGATAAGTGATGGGTTTTTCGTTTTTTCCCATGTCTTTAAAATAGTCTGTTTTTAGACAAGGGCTACGCTTAAATATTTCACAATTCTAACTGAAATAAATTTCATTTGACCTGGGGATGAAAGTCAAGTAACGCAGTGATCCTCGCTGCTGCGTTCCTTTTAAACAATTGCTGAAAAAAGCCTGAAAGAAATTCAGGCTCCGACGGAATTCGAACACATTTCTCCTTACCTGTTTGCACGTGCGCAACTGCGTACCTACAGAGCTTACTTAGAAGTAAAAAAGCGATAATTGTAAAATGCACCATAACCTTAAATCATGTGACTATACTTATTTCTTTACAATAATTTCTAAAGCAAAGTGGCCTTTTTCCTCTCAATCCGACAATGTCGTTTTTATCGAGAAGAGTGGACTAAAGGTCGCAAGGGGCCTGGGCGAAAAATACGTGGTTCATCCAGACCTCCAACTGAAGTTTGCAGCAACCTTAGAAAAAAAAACAAAGCAATCAGAAAAAAATAACCCTCATGCCACGCGGGCTATTAAGGGATCTACAAGTTTGATTTCAAAGGTTTCGAAATCACACCTCGAGAAAAAACCTTGCGACGCCCCTTCTACTGCAAATGGGCTCTCAAAATTATTAGGCAAGGCTGCCAGCCCCTCCCCATGAACGTACCTCAGAAAAATATTCCCTCTACGAATTACCGCTTAAACCGAAAGATTTAAAATCAGGTTGAAGAGAAAGACAGAGAGATGCCATTGTACGGTCACAGACACCTAAAAGGACGATCAAACGTATGTTCTGTAAACCATTGTGTTTTAATATGAAGTGAACAAAGTTAAGAATACAACTAAAAATACCAAGCTAAAGAGATGCTTTGTGTAATAATAAAAAGATGGGTTGTACAATGTTATCACGAAAATGATGACTATCTAAGATTTATTTAATAACTTCCTAGAAACATTTAAAAACATAGATCTATATAACTATTCCAAACTGTTTTAGATACAGGTTTGCTCATGGGGAAGTGCGTGCAGCCTTGCTTAATAATTGTGAGAGCCCGGCCATTTGGAGTAGAAGGGACGTCGCAAGGTTTTTTCTCGAGGTTTTGATTTCGAAACATTTGAAATCATACCTGTAGATCCCTTAAAAGGCTTGAGGGTTTTTTGTCTGATTGCTTTGTTTTGTTTTTACTCGGGCTTTCCAAAAGAGACGCCTGAGTTGAAATTCCGGCTTCGTTTCTTTTTTCGTTCGGTCGCAAATCGCAGTCAAGTCCTCATTACGCATGCGCAACCTTTTAACTCCGACGCATGCGCGACGTTTTGACTAATAAGCACATGGCAATGGTGGACGAAAGGAAAGGAATATATATAACGGCGTAATATGCGACTAACACAGCCTACAGCCCACTAACCCAATCGGTAGATTAATTATAATAAATTAATATATAATGAAATTATAATACTGGCGTAAAGTTTACGTTATATATATATCACCGAAGAGAAGCTTTTGTTGTGAAAAATCAGCACAGACATTGTGTATAGTATGCTCAAAACGCAGAAAAAATATGCAGATATCGCTCGCGGTAGACCCACTCTAAAAGATGTCGAGCGTTTTCGGAACGGGTCGGTCCGTGAACGTTATGAGAGATCTCTTTATGAACGAACATGTGTGAGTGAACCTTTCATCGAGAAACATGCTATATCAACTGAGCTAATGTTTATCGAGAGAGGCATAGACGCAAATCTCATCGTGTATGCGTTGTGAACCAGGTAGAATACCAATACGAAGTTTGAAAAGGTTAAGGAACAAGAGCAGAAAGGTTAGAAAATTTGTCTATGGACGTATTCTCTCATGTATCCCTATGTCATCTGCATTGAACTGTTTTGTTAATGCTAAAAAAACTATTAAATAAAAGGACACTTAAGTTTAACTGTCGTGAGAGAATTCGCCAGTCGATATTTAACATTGTTTTCTTGTAACAAACCGATCTATTCTTGCAAGAATGAGGCTCATGTAGGAAATTATTGCAACCATAGACATATGTTGACCCTAGTAAAACAATAGTAGCTCTATACTGTGACGATAACGAATTAGTTTTTGGACAGAATGCAAGACAACAATGTGTTGCAACGAGTTTGTGTTCTTTGATTTACAATAACACAAGGGATCTGCTCTGCAAATGATCTTATAAAAATAATGAATATTGGAAATCAGCTTTATTCAAGTTTGTCACAATTAGTCAGACAGGCACATTGAATACAGTCAGAATTACCAACACTGAGGTACTGTTCACAAAGAAATTACTATAGAGGGATATCAGTACTGTACGTCTTTACGAAGATCCTTTGAGTTGCTCATATCTGAAAACTACACCAATTTCATATTAACAGTAAAGTGTATTGCTGTTGCAACCTATTGTAATAGTAATATAGGGTTCAAATATTTGATTCTCATGCTAGAGATTTGTGTGGTAGAGGGCAGCCTCAAAGTACATGTGTTCTTCCCAAAGTACCGCACTGCATATAAACAGAATGAAGACACTTAGATCATTTTCATATGCAAATGAAAATTTGTAATGACGGTAATTAGTGGACCCTGAATTTTTTTTTCATTATCAAATGCTACAAACTAAATTGTTATTTTCATTCAATAGCGAATAAAAATAGTGGTTTTGATTACAGTGGTTTCAATAAGCCTGGGTACTGCTGATGAATTACATAAATGTTATTAGATGCTAAATGCTTTGTGACCTTTTGTTTCTTAACATCTTTTAGAGCGATATTCATTTGCCCATGAAATAAATAAATGACTATTTAGTTTATAGTAGTTGATAATGAACAAAAGAAAACAAAAAAAATTCACAGTACACCACTAACTATTAATTACCCTATTCATTCACGGAAAATGAAAAATACTCTAAACACTAACAGTTACTTAGTTATCACCAGGTGTAGTGAAACCACTCTAACCAATAAACCAAAATGTATTAACTAAAGTATGCTAGCCCACTAACTCCAAATGGAAACAAACAAATTGGGAGGTAATAGTACAAAATATGCTAAAGTATATCTCACAAGCATAACCACAACCCCATAAAATTAATAGTTCATCTGGTAAGAACCTTTGGTAGTGACTTTTTGCTTTCTTTTGGTTAAAAGTCAACACCCTAGCACTTAGGGCTGTTCATAATTCAAAGCTACATGTATCTCAGCCTGAAACTTTTGTCAACTAAGAAAAAGGAAAAAGTAAGAAGACAGCCTGTTTGGCAAAAGACTTACCCTGCTACAACCCTTAACCCGCAAAACAAAATTCAATCAAGTCAATACTCTGAAAAAAAAACAATCCCCCCACCACCCCTGAAAAGGGTCTTCACACTGCATAACAAATGCTTTCTTCAGCTCTGTATTCATATGTGAGAAACCTACATCTCTGGCATACCAAGAGAAAAAAGTCAGAGGATAAACCAATAATTGCATAAAAAAAAACTTGGGCAAATGCAAGCACAAAAACAAAGTTTATTTCCAACATAACGTGAATTAATCCAGTCACGCTTCGCGGAATTGTTCGAAAACAGTTCAGTTTGAAAAGAACAATTAGCAAAAGAAAGGCTAAAAGTAATTCAGTTCAACCTTTTAAGTTGTAGTCTGTTGCCCAATTCTCACTACGCAGCACTGTTGCTTCTTTACGCTGTGAATTTTACTTTCGCCTAAGCAATTGCATCGTTGGATATACTCATGAGGGTAAAATTTAAGTTACACACTGGTAATAACTTAAGCACCTAATTTCAGACACTTAAATGTTTCTAATAATGGTATTTAAGGTAAAAAGATATCGATCTTATATCAAGACTCGGAAGACACCGAGGCCACTGGCTTGATATGCGAGACTGAGACCAAACTATTTACCCCAAACAACAACTATTTTACCGCCACTATACTCAGATAATCACTAAGTACCGGTGCTCTTAACGACTAATTAAAATTTCCTCGCTCACATGCTCACATCTTAACTCTGATAAGCTGTACACCTTCCTTTCAAACGAGAAACCCTGCTGTAAGTAAAGACCCCACATCTCCAGGAATTCACGTAAAAGTGAAATTTGGGACTCAACACAAAGGCTGACGATATCAGATTCAAAAATGGCAAGGTCAACAATTTTTCAAAAGTTCCTCTCACCGCCCTTGAAAGGGTGCCACAACCCTTCAGCTCTGAAGTTTCTTTACTAGCATGAGTGCTCTTGTGGGAGTCGCATATAGAACTACAACCTGTCAGCCACTGCAGAGGAATCATACAAGATTACGGGTATCGAATAGGAGATAAATTCTCGATATTTTCATTGTTCTTGTAACAACAGCATGACTTGACAGAGGATAATGGAGTAAGAAGGGGCAGTGAGTACTTTTGTATAAAATCATATTCATTTGGAAGCTGTAAGGAAATTATCGTTTTTTTCCCACAAACTAACAAGAGACACTCTTGTAACATGAGCCCTGCCCATAGGGTAGCCTGTAATGCTCGTCAAAATCTAATCTGAATTGATATTTGTGTTTGGCAGAGTAAGCAGTTTTCAAATATGGCCAGTGAAATCGAAAGAGATGCAGCTAAAAGTGCCAGACCAAGTGTTAGTGGTACTACCACTAACATAAAGACAGCTGGAGGGACTGAGGCAGAGACTACTGATGTTTGGTCAGTTAAAATGTTGGTGGCTGCCGTCGGTTGGAGTACAATTTCCACGACTAGAGGCTTAGTAGCTTTTTTCCTTGAGAACCAAGACAAGGTTATAGATACATTTCGACAGGCTCTTAAAGTTTATGGTAATGTTACAGATGTCACAATTGGGTCACTTATCATTCACTTAGATTGTGGATCACAGGAGAAATATTCAAAGTTTCAACAAGACTTTGAGGATGGAAAAGTTAAGGAAGCATTGGAAAATGAGTTGAGGAAAATTGGCTGCGATGCCAAACTGGAAGTAACTCTCATGAAGGAAATTTCCAATGTGGCTGGGACTGAAATGAGGTAAATGAGTTGTTTTTATTTAAAAGGTGACATGTAGTGGTCTGTAAGTCAGGTGACTGGCCAGGCCTTCCCTTCATACCTCAACAGGCATTCATTTTAGCAAGCAGTCACATTAAAGTCAGGAGAACAAAGGAAACGATCAGAAACTAAAGAAGCTCTTGATTGTTAAACAAACTCTCCTTATCTCTACTTTGGGAAATATACATAGAACAGTATGGAGAATATACGCACATTGATTTTGCTCTGTTAACGACACTGTGAACATGTCTTTACCCTGCAGTTCAAATGCATTACTGAGTTCTCTATTAACTCTTTTAGATATGCTAACGACCTTTTTGCAGGAAAATTTTGATGACATTTTTGTCTCAAGCTCTAAATGAAGATCCATGAAGTTTTAAGTGACTATACAGTTCACTAGCCTCTAATCTCTTGCAAAAATACAAATTGCTCAGAATCAAAATGGAAGATTAATTACTCAATGTATGTGGATTTTTTGTTTAAAATGATATATTCTCATGTAAGATTCAATATGCTTCAAGAGTTCTTATTAGCTGAGTTTATTTATTTTATTTGTTACTGTTGATATATATCCATCATCACAATGCATTGACCTCCATTTTAACAAAAAGAAAAAAATACTTATTTAATAGGTAAGAGCTATATTTTTTGAGAACATGGTTTTCATATTGTGTAATGAAATGTTGCATTTTCAGCAAAGAAACTGTGAATTCCAATCCTGAAGTTGTGTCCCACGGAGAAGAAGAAGCAGAAAAAGAGAGGGATCAGGAAGCCGGTGAGACATGTGCTCTGTGAATGTTTATAGACGTTCATATACTGCAATATCTCAAAAACATGCACTACTGCATGATCTAATAGCCTCCAAATTCAGAGAAAGTACAAATTTAAGTTGCTAGTCTGTATGTAGCCATGAATTTTTGTTTTTTAAAAGTGAACACCTTATTTGAAATATATCAAAAACATATGCTATTGCATGATCTAATAGCTTCCAAATTCAGAGAAAGTACGAACTAAGCTGCTAGTCTATATGTAGCCATGGATTTTTGTTTTGCAAGGGTGAACACATAGCTTGGAGTTGTTCAGAATACATGGACCTACATTGATTAGACATCTTTCATGCTCCTGAAAGAAGTGGTGATTAAGATAATGTAACAATTTCCAGCTTTTTCGAGCATATTCCAGATTTTCAAGATTTTTTCTAGCATTTATTCCAGCTTTTTGAGGTGTTTACTTCATGATGACTCACTCTAATGACCATAATAAGTTTTACTTGCCATTCAACCAATCCAACTAATTTATTAGACGTATACAACAAGGCTAAGCCCGTAATCTACCATGAATCTTAACAGACTTTTTGTTTGTAGCATTCACACGCCCAACAAAAACAAGTATCGTGTTTTTTTGCCAGCAATACCCTGCACAAATCGATTTGAAATTCTATACAGTAAAAATGAATTATCCAAAATATAATTTTTTTTACATACTAAAATCTTTTCTTTGTCACTATGACTGTCCTGAACCGAAACTGAAGAAAACATTGTCTTTTTTGATTAAAAAAAAAACAAACAAGGACAATAAAATGTTTCTCATAGCTTTCTCTGTTCTTGTCCTCTGTATTTGGCCTTACTTTCTTTATTTGCTCTGGCCTTCTTTAAAACCAAGGATTAAGCTCCTGTTTGTTTTCTGAAACATTTTTAACAGCATTCTCCAATGCTGCAAGCTAACTTTTGGATGGCCGAGGCCAAGGTCCATCTAAGGTGGCAACTGACTCTTCAGTGTCTTGAGGGGTTTAAACACCTCATTGACCTTATTTTCAACAAAACATGAAACCGGATGTAATTTAGCTGTCTACAATACTTCCACCATTAGCAATCATTGTAGTAGTAAAAACTAGACATGCTGTATGTTTGAAAATTTGGAGAGATATTGAGCATTTTAACATTTCTTCAGTGAAATATCGCATTTTTTCTATTCATTTCTTCTTAAGGTGTAATCTGAATAAGATCTATGCCTACCTAATACAGAAACATTTCTTTTCAGCTAAAGTCTGACTCTAGTTTTGACATGAAAAAGTCATTAACAAGAGAACACAGACATAAAGTTAAGAATGAAAAAACCATCAAATTCAGTCAGGTGACAAAGTGGATCGAAACTCTGTTTGAAGTCAAAATTCGGAGCAACTGCAGAATACCCGGCCACTCATTTACATGTCACTACATAAGAATAGCGTCTATTGTGTTACGCCTCGATCTTCAAAGCCTCCCGACACATGTAAGTGAGGCGGAAAAAAGCTGCGGTCACTTCTAAGTCGGCGATAAATATCACATCCTGGGATGGGTCGAAAATAAAGACGTGTGAAATTGTTCGGGAGTAAGGTTTGCCAGATCGTTATTATTCTTGTTTGCTTTGCGCCCATTCTGCCCAAGCATCACTCTTTCTTGCAAAGTTAACACACAAAAAATCCGTCACAAAGTCCTCCGCTACAAAGTGATGGATGCTCTGGACACACTTCGAATTTTTTGTGAAGCAAGCGGCCGAAGCAACCGCTGATCCGTTATGGTTGTTTACCAAATGCCGACGAATTTCACCGCTGACCAGGTGATCGCTATAACGACAGCTCTTACGTACGCGATCGTAGGTGATAACATGGCGGCTTTGAGAAAAACTTTCGAAGCTACAACTGATTGGAGCCATCAGCATTAATTTCCTATATGGACGAGATATCATTTATCCAGAACAAACTCTTTTTGAGACATTCCCCGCTGCTATTGTGAAGTTACAAGCGTCATGTGCCATTTCAAGCTGCTGGGATATTCAATATTTGCTAAGTCGCTATCTTCAATTTCTTTTTTAAGACCTTAGAATAGAATGAAGCTGACTAAGCTGACAATTTCTAGGAGAGGGTAAAACGAAAATTGGCCGCCGTAAAGGGTAAAAAAGCTAATCGTCAGCTTTTTTACCCTTTACGGTGGCTGATTTATGTTTTCAACCCAGTTGTTAACGGTAAATTACCTCATATTTCTAGCTTATTCCAGTTTCCTGCAAGCAGGCAGCAGCCAATAGATGCGTTAAATTCCAGCTATTTCCAGCTTTTGAAAGAACTTAAAACTTGGAAAAACTGGGAAAATATTTTCTAGAAAAAAACCAAATTAGGATTCTGGAATAAAGCTGCCATATTCTAGAAATCTCTAGAAACTTCCAAAATTATCAGAAAGTTGGAAATTGGTTTTGCAAGAGAACTGTAACCAAAAATAAACTGTATTTTGCCACGGCTACATATTAGTGCAAAATGAAGACTGCAGGCTGAAGACCGGATACAGAATGTAGACTGCAGACTGCAGAGTGGGTAAAAAATGCAGACTGAGAATCTAAAGAGTTTTTTCGTTTGGTGTGTGGTAACATGTCATCTTACAACTTACCGAGCGTCACGCAATCGCTTTTTTCGCGATCAGCGTTCACAATTATTTGCAATATTTTGGAATATTCCTGTCCTATTTCTTGATGAAAATCGATCGTAATATAATTTCAAGCCTCCATATAGCCTTCTCACTTTGCGCGCTAGTTGGTTGGTGTCTGTACAGATTTTACCCCACGTAATAAAAGTAGACGTAAATGACGAGATGTCACTATTGAACATTTAACATGCGCAGCATTCGAGAAACAATTGACAGCTTTGCACGTGGTCCGTGTTATCATCTTTTTAGGCGGTATGTGTTTAGTTTGTTGACAAGAATGCGGACCGAGACCGAAACTTTTCCTTCGACTCGATATATTTTCGACGTTATTAGATCACATCATATTAACTTACCTCCATATAACATTCATTCCAGTTAATAAAATCAAATAAACATGCTAACGATGGTATCTAAATTCGTCATTGGCCAAACACAAACGACTCCGCAAGATCACTTTCTCCAGGCATCAAAAAAAAAAAAAACGTTGTCCATAGTTAATTTTCATTAGACATTCATCTAGAGATAGCAGCGAGTAAACCAATGCAGAAAAATATAATCGGTACCCTCAACAAATCATGAAATCTTAAAACTCAGCTTGCCGTTAAAGAACTGCTCAAATCAAAATGTTTGGTGCAATTCATCAACACTTCAAGAAATATTTGTATCAACATTTTTCCACTCACCCTCGTAGTGAAGCAACAATAACCATGATCATGCTACAATGCACATAACTCCATTTTCTCTCAAACAACTATCCACCATTTTCACAGCATGAGTAATCTGATAGGTAATCTGATATCTTTCATCTGTCGAGTAGTATCGCATTTCTCATGAAGCGCGATAAAGCCAACATTTCTCATTCTAAATGATGATTTCGTTTTGCGAACCGCTCTCACCGAATCCCCCATTACTTCGTTGAAGCTGAACACCTCTCAAACCAAAGAACAAAAACGACGCTCGGATTGGTGCGAGATACATACCCTAAATGCGGCGATCTGATTGGTGCGAGATGCATTCCCTAAACGATCTGATTGGTGCGAGCAACATACTACTCTCTGCACGCTAACTTTATTTTTTTAATAAAAAAAATAACTCAAAAATTAATCGATAGAGACATTGCACATGCGTGTACTGTAAAATGATCAATCTTAGCCTAAGAGTAACGATCCATCTGCAAAAAAAAAAGCTTCACCACTAACTGGCCTATACCTTAATCACAATAGTGCAGAGCAAAGGAAACAAATAATCATGAGATGCACTGCACCTTCCTTGAACTATAAACTAACAATCAATACCTAACAGTAAAGATTCCTCAGCTAAAAGCTTTGCTCCTAACTGACATATACCTTAATCACAATAGTATAGAGCAGAGGATAAAATTAGTCATTAGATGCATTGTTCCTACATATTCATTGACCGCAGTACTTTAAAGAAAAAAACCTATGCTATAACTGACCAATATACCGAACGGTAAGGATTCCTCAGCTGACATATTCACTCCTAACTGGCACAGTAGTGAAAAGCAAGAGAAAAAATTAAGCATTAGAAGTAGTGAACCTACAGTAATCCAAAATTATTAATCAATACCTTACAGTAAGAGTTACTCAGCTAAAATCTTCACTCTTAACTGGCATATACCTTGATTACAGTGGCGTTAGGCAAAAGAAAAAATTTATCATTAGAATCATTGCGTATACTTATACTTTGAAACGATCAAATCTGAGCATAAAAGTGAAGATTCATCAGCAAATGAGGCTTCACTACTTACTTACGTTCATAACAATAGTGCAGACCAAAGGGAAAAATAATCATAAGATGCACTGCAACCACATGTACTGTAAATAATCAATCACTGCCTCATTCCCAAATAGCAATTTCCTCGATTTCAGTGTTGCAGAGCAAGGGGAAAGAATAATCATTAGAAGCATTGCACCTGTATATAATGTAGAATAATCAATCAATGCCTAACCGATAGGATTCCTCTGAAAATAAATTTTTTTCTTCGTTGCATTTACCTTGATCATAATAGTGTAGAGCAAGGGAAAAAATTAATCATTTAAAGCATTGCACCTATATGTACTGTAAAAGTAATAATCAATGCCTAACAGAAAAGATTCCTCATCCGAAAATCTTCACTCCTAACTGGTAAATACAATGATCACAGTAATGTAGAGCGGGGAAAAATTAATCATAAGAAGTACTGCTCTCACAATGTACTTAGATTAATCAATCAATGAATAACAGTAAAAGACTCCTCAGCTAAAAGCTTTACCCCTAACTAACATATACCCTGATATTAATTACCAATCAATGAATATGTAGGAACAATGCATCTAATGACTAATTTTATCCTCTGCTCTATACTATTGTGATTAAGGTATATGTCAGTTAGGAGCAAAGCTTTTAGCTGAGGAATCTTTACTGTTAGGTATTGATTGTTAGTTTATAGTTCAAGGAAGGTGCAGTGCATCTCATGATTATTTGTTTCCTTTGCTCTGCACTATTGTGATTAAGGTATAGGCCAGTTGGTGGTGAAGCTTTTTTTTTGCAGATGGATCGTTACTCTTAGGCTAAGATTGATCATTTTACAGTACACGCATGTGCAATGTCTCTATCGATTAATTTTTGAGTTATTTTTTTTATTAAAAAAATAAAGTTAGCGTGCAGAGAGTAGTATGTTGCTCGACGAAATGACAAAAGTTTGGTCATATGAAATTTTAAGTCAACTAAAATGTCTCAAAATCCTCTCAGAAAAAGAGACCAGAACTACGACAATTACATTCATAATAATTACTGGAAGCCCTCTAGGGGCAATGCAAGTGTTACCAATGCAAATCGCAAAAATTTTGATGTGTATCTCACATATTCATAATCTTTCTTTCCTGCTCTACACTACTGTGGTGCAGGAATAAGCCATTAAGGAGTGAAAATTTCAGCTGACGGCAATCCACACTGTTAGGCATCAATTGATCATTTTACAGTGTACATAGGACTGCTTTTCAGGATTAATATTTGAATAGTTATATATTCATGGTTATCATAACATTTACTGTCATTTAATTCATGATAATCGCTTCAGCGTTATCACTTTGCTTATCAAATTGTTGTGTAGCAAGACAGTCCTGCATGAGGTAAATCCAAACGTTGTGATTGGTTATACCCTGATCACAGAAGTGTAGAGTGTAAAGGGGAATATTTATAATTAAGACAGTCCTGCATGAGGTAAATCCAAACGTTGTGATTGGTTCTTACTTGGTCCGTATTTTGCTATAAGGACTGTTCCCACCGAAATGGTCATAAAGCGTGCATTTTTCTTCACAAAAGCCGGCTAATTCCAAATAAACAAGTTTCGCCCGAGTGCCGTATAATAAACTACTTACTATAACCTCCCTTTCTTGAACCTATACCGAGTATTATTTGCACTCGCTCGATTTTGTATGGACCTCGCTACGCTCTGTCCTTACTGCCACGACTTCGGCCCTCATGCTCGATTATTAAAAATAACGCCGTGATGGGTAAAGATATGTTTTGGCCCCAAAAATAAGGCCGTTTCGGTTAGTAAAGTACAGTTTTCATTTGTGTCTAATCTGGCCCCTCCAGAAAAGAGTTGTTTTTGCCCGATTGTTTCGGCCGGCCCTGTATAGGATAACCGTAAAGAATTCACGGGGGGTCGAAATAACATTTTTGGGTGGCCAAATCAGCCCATCTGAGGCTAATTCTTTCCTTAGAGACGATGAAAATTGGTTCCTATTTTGTGGCCAATTTAGGGAAACTTATGGTTCAAAACGAAGTAGATAAATGGCTAAATATAGGGGTCATAAGGTCTGAAACGAGGCTCGTGACCGGAGATGTTTCGGATAACTATGTAAAGGAACTGAAATGGTTATGAAATGATATGAAATGGTCTCACTTGTGCCATTTCATATCTCTACCATGTAGTTAAATGGTTTTATATATATAAAACTGTCCAACTACATGGTAAGAAGCCTGTTTTGATTTTTCCGTGGAAGTAGAGCGCGATATATATTGAGATAGGGAAAAAAACAAACAGACTATAGAGACTAGAACGACTAGACTTGTCGTTAAGGAAATATCAGGCTATGCAAATGACACTGGAGGAATTAGCAATTAGTGAAATACCTTTGCAAGTGTGATGGCAGCCTCAGTTGTGGAAAATATGTTGTATGGTTGCGTTGTTTTCAAAGCTGGCAACATTATAAAGGTGACGTTACTCTCTTTTTCTTTAAACCAAATAATTGGTTCTCATATCTCCGTAGATTTATAAATTGTGTGACCATAATCAACCTCATATATGATTATGATCATCTTACAAGATATTTTGGTTTGTTACCTGAATTTATTTTATAAATTGGCAACCTTAAAGAGTTTCTAAAGTTGACGCTAATACTGTAAGGATTAAGAATTACGATTAAAAGATATCTTTTTTTTCTAGAGCTCCAGAGTTCCACAGTTTCTCTATAAACTTACCCCCTTCATTCATTTAATGATTACCTTGGTTTGCCTTGTTTCAGATCATCCATTATGTAAAATTGCTTATATGAACTTAGCCAGGACAACAAGCAGCGAAACTCAGAATGAAAAAGGCTATCTTAAACTTTTCTTTCTTGCATCCCTTCTCCTCATTCTCTTTAAAACTCCCAGAAAGGAGCCAGCAGTGCAGGGCAGACGTGAAATTATTAAAGTTGTCGAGAACTACTGAGCATTGGATGGTATATGGGCAGAGTAACTAAGGTTGCATGAATATTAAGAGAAAGTTAATTGTGATTTTATTTCAATCTAATATCTGTATAACAAGTTATTAATCTTATGCATTGAGTCAATTTTCAAAATATGGTATTACATGCGGTTTTTTAAAATACTTAAATCAAGCCCTAGTTACTTCCCTGTGAACTGAAAATCCCGATAGTTGCAATCATAAATAGAGGGCCAGTCTACGTACGCGTAAATTAAGATATTTTCCTGTCGGAAAGAAGAAAGCTTGAGTTTTCGCTTTCTAAATTCTTGAATTATTTTGTTTAGAAGCGAGTGACGTCAATGCAAATGAACCTGCAATCATACCCAGTACGCTTAGGCCGCCTGTGCGGGAGCCAACCTATTGGTACAAAGACGGTTTTGGTCCCTTTTTTTAAGCATAAAAGATGCCATTTAACTCTTCTCCGACAATGAACCCGTTCTTTGGTGTTCTTTTGATCTATTCTAGTTAAGAGGATAACTGAAAGTGGTCTTTTTGAGCCTCTTAATTATCCAGTGAAATATACGAAATGCAATATGTTTAACTGTAGGTACAATTTCTTGTCATTTTATACAGACAATTCGGATGTCGAAGATGGTTCTCCTCCAAAGAGACGACGGCCGCCATCTTCTTCCGGTTCAGACCCTAAAAGAAACAAAGTGACAGCAGGTAGTAATGTTTAATTTAAAGTACAATGTTGTAAGAAAATGCTGGCTTAAGAGTTTTGTCAAGTAGCAGGGAGAAAATTAATTTCAAAATGTGTCGAATATTTTGTGTTGGTAGCCCATGTTACCGAATATCATGGCTAAAAAGCACATGTCTTTAACCAGAGTATAAAATACAAGTGATGCTGGGTAGCGAGAAGGGAGGGAGGGAGAAAGAGAAGGACGAAGAGAGAGAGGAAAGGAGAAATTGAAGAGAGGAGAGGGAGGTATGGGATGGGTGGAGGGAGGGAGAGAGAGAGAGAGAGGGAGGAAGGTAGGGAGGGTGGGGGAAGATGGGAGAGAAGGACAAAGGGATGGATGGAAGGAAGGAGGAAAATAAGAAGGAGGGGAGGAGGATAGAAGAAGGAGAGAGAAATCAAAGGGAGAGAAGTAGCAACCTCATATGTGATTTGATCATCTTACAAGATATTTTGGTTTATTAACTGAATTTATATTGTAAATTGGCCACCTTAAAGAGTTTCTGAAGTTGACGTTGATACTGTGAGCATTAAGAGTTACGATTAAAAGATATTGCTTTTGGTTCTGGAGCTCTAGAGTTCCACAGTTTCTCAAGAAACTTACTCCCTTAATTCATTTAATGGTTACCTTGGTTTGCCTTGTTTCAGACTATCTATTATGTAAAATTGCCTATATAAGCCTAGCCAAGACAACAAGCAGCGAATCTCAGAATGAAAAAGGCTATCTTAAATGTTTGTTTCTTGAATCCCCTCTCCTCATTCTCTTTAAAAACTCCCACAAAGGCTGTGCACGGTAGACGTGAAATTATCAAAGTTGTCGAGAACCACTGGCATGGGATGGTATATGGGCAAAGTAACTGATATTGTCATTTTGTTTCGATCTAAGTTCTGTATAAAAAGTCAGTAATCTTATGCATTTAATCAATTTTCAAAATATGGTAATACATTCGACTTTTTAAAATACTTAAATCAAAGCCCTAGACACTTCCTTGTGAACTGAAAATCCCGATAGTTACAATCATCAACAAAGGGCCAGTCTACGTAAATTAGAATATTGTCTTGTCGGAAAGAAGAAAGCTTGAGTTTTCGCTTTCTAAATTCCCGAACTATTTTGTTTAGAAGCAAGTGACCTAGGTGCAAAGGAACCTGCAGTTGTTGGGATGACATTAGCAGGGAGCTCGGGTATAGAGCAACCAGAAGATATCATTACCATGGACAACAGAGGTAAACTTTTGCCGATCTAGAATTTTCAGTGTCTGTTATTTGTCTATCTTCCTATACGACTTTCTGTTTGTCTGCTTTCCTGCTTATATGTTATTCTTTCTACTTCCCAATCCCTCGCTGTTAGTCGAATATGCATTGAGCATCTGTTGTCTATATATGTGTATTTTTGTTCGAAAAGGAAACCTGAGCACGAGAGAACCTCCGGAACTTAGAGAGACATTGAAAGTGCTTGAAATGAAGGATCTTCCCCCAAAGACAACGCCTCGGAAAGATATCGAAGAAAAATTCTTGCCAGTTGATTTTCTGCTGTTAACAGCAAAGGAATGTGAACACCTAAGCTGCCTCTCCTTTCTCGACGACATTAAGATGGGTGATGACGACAAGCTCGGCCCTGTGTATTTTGGGTTTAATAGCTCAAAATCCAAAATTGCCGTGATTAAGTGCGCCATGGGCGCCGCCGGCCCTGGAGGCTCCATAGTTGTAGTCCAAGATGCAGTTCCAATCCTAAGACCCAAAGCGGTCATCTGTGTGGGTTACTGTGCTAGCTTGGACGAGAAGAAAGCTAAGCTTGGTGATGTCATTGTATCTGCCAAGTTGATAACCTACGCTTTAACCAAGGCGAGGAAGAACAAGATCGAACACCGCGGCTATGTTGTTCCTCCAAATACGAAAATGGCTAAACGCATCCCGGTTGTCGGGGCAGGTTGGGTAGCACCTCTAAAAAACCCAGAAGACCTAAAAGTGACAGTACGCAATGATGGCGTGCTACTCAGTGGCCCTACTGTGCTTGCTAAATCAGAACTTAGAAGGGAATTAAAGAACCAATTTCTCCAGGGAACTGCCATCGAGATGGAGGGCGAAGGTATTGTTTAAAGTACTCCATAACCTTATTTAGAGCCCTAGATCCCATAGACGCTATTGCAGAAAAAAGTAACCTATTTAAGTTGTTATAATTTATCTAAAATTTTTCTTTGAGCTGCGTGCCATTAGCCGTTCTTTATATTTTGGTTGTTGTTGATAAGGAAGCAAGGCGTGCCCTTTGTCTTCTTGGACTTTGCATGCTGGAATGAATGACATGACACGTGAAACATAACTTTACGATATATGCTGAAGGTTAGACGCTGTATGCATATATATGGAGGAAACGTAAAAAATAGTCCCCCTTAATCCTTGGAGGTTTGTGCACAGCACTGAGCACAGGCATTGCAATGAATCGTCAAAGTTTATAATTAGTTCCACCAATGTTTTTCCAAAACCACTGCGTTTTATCGTGTTTTTACAGAATTTCAACTCCTCTCTAGGTCTTTACGCTGCCGCTCATAACCATGGAATTGAATGGTTAGTTATCAAAGGAGTTTCAGACTTCGGCGATGATAATAAATCTGGAAATGATTCTTGGAGGCCATTCGCAAGTGTGATGGCAGCTTCACTTGTTGCGCATATGCTAAATGACAGTATTGCGTTCGCGAATTGGTGTCACTATGGAGGTAAGTAACTCTGATATTTGATACTTTATGTTACTTTATGTGAATTACTATTGTTTATTTCTCATGTTGCATGCTACTAGTCTTCAGTTAGTGATGTGGTCGACTGTTTACCCACGACCTACAAGACGTGATTCTCTGTCGCGATTGGTTTATCTTTTATCAGCTGTTGTTGGAATATGCATGAGGCATCTGTTGTCTATACATGTGTGTATCTTTGTTCGTTTTCAGTCTGGGAGGAGCCAGTGAGGTATCAATAAGTACACTTTGCGCTTCTTATCTATCTCCATCACCCACGCTGTTCCTCCCCCTCCCCCCTTCCTTCCCTGACCATGAAAACTTTACGATAGGGTGACTCTTAATTTTTATTTGATTTATCAGGTATTCCCGTTAATCACCTTTAAACCCCGAAATCCACGCAATACGCTCCGGCCGCCTGTGCATGAGCCAACCTATTTGAACAAAGACGGTTTTGGTCAGTTTTTATGCATAAAAGATGCCGTTTAACTCTTCACCAACAATGAACCCATACTTTGGTGCTCCTTTGATCTATTCTAGTTGAGAGGATAACTGAAAGTGGTCTTTTTGAGCCTCTTAATTATCCAGTGAAATACGAAATGCAATATGCTTAACTGTATGTACGATTTCTTGTCATTTTATCCAGACAATTCGGATGTTGAAGATGGTTCTCTTCGAAAGAGACGACGGTCGTCATCTTCTCCCAGTTCAGACCCTAAAAGAAACAAAGGGACAGCAGGTAATAATGTTCAATTTTTAAGTACGCTGTTGCAAGAAAATGCCTGCTTAAGAGTTTTGTTAAGTAGCAAGGAACAAATTAATTTCAACATTTGTCGAAATATTTTGTGTTCGTAGCCCATATTAGCGAGTTGCATGGCTGAAAAGAACATGTCTTTAACCAGAGTATGAAATGCAAGTGATTCCGGGTAGCGAGAAGGGAGGGAGGAAGAAAGAGAAGGACGAAGAAAGAGAGGAAAGGAGAAATTGAAGAGAGGAGAGGGAGGTATGGGATGGATGGGGAGAGGAAGAGAGAAAAAGGGGGGAGGGAGAGAAAGGGGGAGGGAGAAGGAGGAAGGGAGAGAGGAAGAGAACGAGAGAAGAAAGGAAAAAGAAAGCAGAGAGTAAAGAGGGAAAGATAAAGAAAAGGAAAAGTTGAGGGGAGTGAAGGTAATGTTAAATGGAAGAGGAGAGGACAAGGGGGGCTGGGGGGTTGGGGAGGGAGGAACTACGGAGAGAAGGCTGAGAGGGCAGAGGAACGGAGGGAGGAAAACGGGAAAGGGTGATTAGAGGACAGAAGGGAGGCAAGGAGAAACAATTCGACGGAAGGAAGGAAGGAAGGACAAAGGAGATGAAGGAAAGAAAGGAGGGAGGGAAAGAACAGTGGAGGTGGGCAGAGAGTAACTCTAATTCACTCACGTCTTTTAGGAGAATCTTACGCAGAGGCTGCACAGCCCGGACCTTCAAATCAAGGGGAACCGCGATCCATACGACCTGTTGATAAAGCGCCGACTACTTATAAAGGTATTTCATCTTAGTACCCTGTTTACTCTGTTGACGTTAAATTTAAGAGAAAATGGACACTCCTAGGTTGAACTTTATTTTTCAAAAATGCCTACGAAAGGCTTGCTTTATTCCGTTTAATTCATTTCCCATTGATTCATTCCATAACAATAGTATCGCATTTGAAGAAAAAAAACCCTTGTTATGGTACTTCAGACGAGAGACTGCTAGCTAGGAAACGTAGTTCATGACCTCCTTATTCAAGATGGTTTTCGGGCCCTTCGCAAATGAAGAGGTCAGAAGAGATGAGTGTACTTAGAAGGCATATAAATATTGCTTCACTGGATAAGGAAAGAGGTTTCAAACGCGACTTATTTTGTCTTATATGACACCCTGTGTCATCCTGGATAACCCGTTAGAATCTAGAGGGAAAAACTTTGCTTTGAAAGAGAGAATTAAGTGACTTTTAGCTACTGTAGCGAATAAGTTTGTGAAATAAGGACATGAAGGATTAACAAATTAAATTAACATTGTCCAAACATGATCCATTTACTTATTTTGAAAGCTTAAAGCTAGTTAAATGATGAGCTGGAATCTCATATTTAGTCTTTTTAATCAAACGTTATTTTTCACTTTTGTTTCATTTTTTAACTCGTGGATAAACGATAGCGAAGAAACGAGTTGTTGTGGGCACTTTGAGATATGCAAATTGCATGGACTCTTCGTAATTATTCGTAATTAGTCGTCTTCAAACTCGAGATCTATCCTTCCGAAGAAGTCCGAAGTCCTGGCGCCATTGTGATTGCATCGATCGTTGCGATGTTTATTGTCTTTACACGGCTGTTTCGACATTTCCCAAATTGAAATGGATTTCGAATGTTTCAGATTAGTGCTATGATCAACATAAATACCAAATTTGATGGGTCTACGAATCGTCTATGCGCTAAACGTAACGAGGAGCAGCAAGAATTACGAAGAGTGTGTGAGTTACAAATCGGTCTTTTCGTTATGGTCGTTTCGTTTTGTTTTTTTTTTTTTTCTATGCAAACGTGACTGTTTTGGGGTGCGTTCCTTTGAAGAATCCGGATCAGGATTTCTGATCTGTGGCGTTCCCTAACGAGCAAATCCATTTTCAGATCAGTGATCTATCAAATCCACTCTGGACAAGGATTCATCGGATCACTGATCTGCGTGATCTGAAGACGGATCATTGGATCATTCATCCATCACATTCCTTTGAGCGAAGGATCCTAAATTAATAATTTTGCCCAGCGGTGCTCAATTTGAAACAAGTGGGTACTTCATATATTGACCGGAAAGATTGTTGGCAATCACTCCACAAATTCTGCGATACACACGAAATAAAATCGATTTTGTAATGTTAAATCGATCGGCCACTGACCGCAGGTATTTAGGGTTCCCAAGCATCCATATCGTGATCAATACTTGCTTCTGTCTTAATTCCATTGTTTGAGTTTACCATGAAAAAATGTACGTGCTTCTAATGAATAGTGCTAATTAGAACAATTGTGTGCGCTAAAAGCCCGTGCAGTTAGACGAGCCATTCAGGGAAGAGCTCAAGTACCACGTAATTACACAAGTGTTAAAAAGCACACTTTTTGGAATTCTCTGAGAGTTCGTCTAAAACTCCGTTTCTTTCATGTATCGTGATCTGTGGAATCTTGAATCTCAAATCCTTATCCAGATCCTCCCAAAGGAACGCACCCCTGATGGTAAGAATGAAATATGATAGGTTTCTACAAGCCGTTTCCGAGCACGTGAACATTATATGGCCGGTGTTGTTTTGATCGCTTGACGATCTTTTTCGCTCAAAACACATGACGACTTCCTATTTCAAGGAATGCTTTTCCAATTAATTTCTATCGCATCCGTTTAAAAAAATAAAAGCAAATCCGTGTACTGAAAAACAAAAGGGAAATTAAAAACTACGAGAAATCGCGAGTAATCGGCCTCTTCTGCTTACAAGTTCGGTGTAACATGCTAGTATTTCCCATATGTTACAAGTAATTCACGCACGTGGGAATGCTGCAATCACGGTGGTTATTCTCAACCTGGAGTAAATATGTGCTATATTTTGCTTCATCATTCTTTGCCATTTCTATACTCAAATATTAATTCAGAGAAGGGGAGGGAGGGGGTGGGTGAGATAGGCTAACAATGTGCCGCTGGATAGGGTCACACTTTCACGATTGCATTGACTTTTATGGCATTGCATTTTTAGATATTTTCAATAGATTTTCTACAAGAAAAGTATGTAATTCATAAACAGGAAGATTCATGATAAAAAAGTTGTTACCGTATTTTAATATTCAATAAACGGCTCCCATTCCATTCCGGTCTTGCCCAAAAGCGTACAAAGATGGGGTCTATAATTGGCCACAACATAGGCTGGTTGGTTCTGATTGTCAACCCATGGAGTACGATAATTTCTATACTTGCAATTCTACTTTCTACCTTTTTTTAACACCTTAGTTTAATGATAGCAACTTTACATGTATACATCTCTTTAATACTTTATCCGCGAGTTAGCCACAGGCGCCTTCTGATTAATTATATATATTGTATTAATTATTCCTGCTTTTATAGTATTCATTAGCGAATGATCGAAATTGTTCACGAATACATCTAACTGAGGTAGACACCTCAAAACTCGAATAAAGTGATCAACTTGTTTTACAATTTAGACAACTTCTTTCTATGGAGTAAGTATAGAGTTCGTAATTCTATCAAGAGCCATTTTTTTTACGAATTAAAGCTCTCGTAGAAATCCCCTGACTTCAATTGATGTTGGTGATAATTCTTATGACGAGCTCTACTTTCGGTCACATTATAGTCACGATTTTATTTCATTACCTCCTTGTAATAATATAGTCAAAACAATAATAGCTCTTTGACATACAACAACACAAATCCATGCTGGTCGATTCGAGGCTTTAATTCGAGTTAACAATAACGAGCTTTCTGCCTCTCCAGGACGTTTTAGTATCACACGAGAAGCGATTGATCATTAAAGCATTAAAAGCAAAAAAACAAAATCAAACATTAAAAGCAAAAAAACAAAATCAAACATTAAAAGAAAAGCAAGAAGAAACGTAAGGCAATCGTCCGTGCGAACGTTTGTCCTTCTGTCTGTCCTTCCATCTCTCCGTCTGTCCGGCCGTGCGCCCTCCTGTATATGTTGTTTGCCATAAAACTTAGAGGAAAACTACCCCAAACGTCGCAACTGCTTAGTTTTTTTTGTTTTTTTTTATTTTTTTTTTGTTTTTTTTTTGTCTTTCTCGAGAAAAACATTAACAGGTTGGGAAAAGAGAATGTTTGGTATATTTGGCCAAATCAAAAAGCTGAAATGTCTAGCCAAAGATTATCAATTGAAGAGAATCATAACAGTTTTGAAAAAATTAGTCCAAAGTGATGCATTGCATTCCTCTCAAGAGTTCGAGGAATACTTCTCTGAGAGGAAGATTGACGCTGACCAATCATCCATCTATTAATTAGAACAAGAATTACTTTATTAAAAACATCCTATAAACACTAACTGCACTTTTTCAATATTCAGTCAAGAATGGCACGCCCAGTGACAAAGAATTATATGCAATTTCGAAAAACATCGCTGAGGGCTGGAAGCCACTTGGAAGAAATTTAAATATTGCGGAAGCAGAGCTGGTCAAATTTCACAAAAATCATGAAGAATACACCGAAAAGCCATATCAAATGTTGCTTTATTGGAAAAGAAGAGAGGGTGAAAAGCAACCTACAAAAGCAACCTACCTTGTCTTACATGACGCCCTATGTCATCCCTTTGTAGCCCGTAAGGATCTGGCGGAAAAAATTTGCTGTCAATTACAGAATTAAATGACTTTTAGTTCTTAATTCGAATATATTTTTTGCTATAAGGACAAAAGGATTGACAGTTGTCAACAATTAGTCCATTAGCTTTAATATTGAGTTACTCTTTCAAAAGTAATGGTATTTATGCACCAGTTTTTCCCATCTTATTTTTAAGGATTTATGCCAAATGGATCATGACATGGAATCTCATGTTTAGATTTCTTGGTTAAACGTTGTTTTTACTTTCGTTGCATTATAAGTCGTGTTTACTGTATCAATTATTCCTATTTTTACACTTCTGTCTAGGGTAAATGATGGAGATTGTTCACAAATATATAGGCCTCATGAGGACACATTAAACTTACAATAAAAGTTATCAACTCGTTCACAGTTTCGAAAACTTCTTTCTACGAAGTACGTTTAGAGTCCGTAATTATTTCAAGAAGTTTATTTTACGAATTATAACTCGCCTAGAAAATCCCTGCCCTCAATTAGCATTGATGATAATTCTAATGAGATTGCTCGTACTATAAATGCGATTTTGCTTCATTACCTCCCCCTAATGATGTAATCAAAACAATATTAATAATTATAGCTCTTTAATATAAAACAACACAAATCTATGCTGAATGGACACTGCGTGTTTACATTAAGGAGTTCTCTGCCTTTCCAGGACTTCTTCGCCGTAAAAAAATTGAGGCGATCATTATAAAGGATGAGTATCTTTTAAGCCTATGCTTATCTGCTACAGAGTGAATCCAAACCAAGAGGACCCCCCAAGCGATAAATAAGGACCGCTTGCTTACTTAACCTAAGAATGACTGACCTGAATAGGATAAGCTCTGAAAAAAAAATAAATTCCGGCTGAAAATAAAACTCTGCTTTCATAGTGCCACACGAGAAGCGATACGTTATGAAAACAAAAAGCAAATAAACAAAACCAAACATTATAAGAGATACAAAAAGAAACGGGGGAATAGTAACAACTCCCGCTTGTTTCTTCCTCCATCCCCTTCCCCCCCCCCTCCCCTACTCACCCCAAGCCACCCCTTCAACACTAGTAAGGTGTTTCTCTCTATTTGAAGACAATACCTTCTTCGTGATTGAGTTATTTAACAATATTATGCAATTTTTCAGTCAGGTCTTTCTATGTTTTTATTGCCACAGCCATAACTTCCTTCCCTCTCGGCAAGGAGAGGATTCGTATGTAAGGTTACATCTAATTAAATTAAGGCGGTCTCGACATTCGTTAATTTGAAACACTCTCGGTCTTTTGGAAATTTTTACAAATTTATTTTTTCTCCTCTTTTAAGAATTATGAGACTTAACAACCGTTTTCAAGTGATATCTGCCCTACTAACGTTATATCAAATGCAGTCGTACTTTCTCAGCGCTCAAACTTTCTAAATCCCTTTTCCTTCGTGACGAGCACCGTCATTTCTTAAGAGTAGAATGCAGCCTGTCCGACTGGCTTCAAAAACCGGTCAGCTTTACAGCTAAGCATAAATATCTTGACAGGGTCAACAAAGAAAAATATACTTTATCGTATCTATGCAAGTAGAGAGCGCTCAAATTAAAAGCTTCTTCCGGCCTCGTTTTCATGCTTCTTTCCCTTAGCCATTGCACTAAAAATTATTTATGAAGCCCACAGAACCCCATTCCCTGATGCAAAAGAATCATCACGTTACGAAACAAACGGGAAATTAATATGTATCTGCAAATTAAAAACTTTAATCCATTGGAGAAAGTAACATAAAACCACTATGAATCTACTTCAGAATGACCTTAGCTATGATTGCATGATTAAAGAATCTGATTAATTATTCTCTGAAATTTGCAAATCTGAAACGAAACTGTCTGAGAAGTGTTAACTTTTCGAGTAGTTCCGTCGATTCACGAACTACCCACGAAGTAATATCGTGTGTCTTCACGGTCTTGTTCACAGAGTCAAGTACAGACATTTTCATTTTAAAGAGAAAGTGAAGGTGAGTAAAGAAAGTCGTATATTTTGGCTTTAGACGAAAGCGGAAGCGCCAAGCATTATTCCTTTGCTATGATTTGAACCAAGACAAAGCGGGTTATTATCAATTTCAGATGACTAACTTTAGCATAGATAAACGTCCAAGAGCGAAGGCCGTAGATTAAAAACTCTTCAATGCATTTGTTTTAATTTTACACGACACAGGAATGAGCTAAACAACATTGGACGCTGTTAGAATTAAGTCACGCATATGGCCGTATGACTTTGTCTTTGTCAGTTATTTTCATTACTCCTCGATAGTTCATCTACTCGATCAATTCCCTTCCGAGCCAGTTAAAGTGAAGAGTATTTACAATGATTGCAGTTAAAAGATACTGATCCACTTATTTTAGTCAAGTCTATAGTCAAAACGGCGATAGCTGATACTTGTCCAGACGCAAACAAATACATTAAGATGTCTTGAAGATAACAAATGGCTAAAACTTTTCGGTAAAGTTATTATGAATTTTAAAGCAAAGGAGACTAAAAGCTTCTTTAAAATACAGGATCAGTTCGATTTACCATGCAGCTATCCGTGCTTCGATTGTAAGGATCTCAGAAGATCCTTTCAGATATGCCAGCTTCAATATGTGTTTTGCTAAGAGAAAGTAATTTTTAGTCTAGGCGAGAGCATTACTCGCTCGATGTGATTTGCACTGAAGCAAAGCGGCGATTCTACTCAATCCTGATTGATAACTTTGTCGTGGAGGGACATGCAAGAGCGCGAATTTTTCACTGAGTTCATGGCTTACAACCACTTCTTCCCACTTTTTTAAATGCAAACAACACTTGGATGATTTGAACGGTAAGCAATAGAAATCCAGGCTGTGAGAATTGATTTGTTAGTTGTGCTTCGATTCTAAGAATCTTGAAAGATCAAATATATGATCTCTGGCTTACCCTATGAATATCTGTTTTAGTCATGAAGGCAAGTTTATCGATTTGCTCTGTCTCTCTCTGTTGAAAGGTTATGAATTTGTGAGGTAGACATCAAAACTTTTGTTTTCGTACAGTCGTACAATCGTTCTTCGGTTCTCGCTACAGAAATGAGATAAGTTAATCTTGCGATTTGTTTTGGTAACACTTGCATTGCCCCTAGGGCTTCAAGTTATTATTATAAATGTAACTTTTCATAATTGTAGTAGTTCTGGTCTCTTTTTCTGAAAGGATTTTAAGACATATTAATATTTGTTCATATTTCATGCAGCCTAGGGGAAACGTTACAGCAACATATTTATTTGACTTGAAATTTCAGTTGACCAAAATTTTGTCATTTCGTCGAGCAGTGTGGATTTGAATAGTTATCCAAGGTTATCATAACATTTATTGTCAAGTGAGTAGTTAAGTATCATCGCTTCAGCTTTATCATTTTGCGACTCAACTTGTTGTGTGGCAAGATAGCCCTGAGGTAAATCCAAACGTTGTGATTGGTTCTTACTTGGTCTGTATTTTGCCATAAGAACTGTTTCCACGGAGACGATCAAAAGGCGTTCATTTTTGTTCACCGAAGCTGGCTCAAAATAAACAAGTTTGGCCCGAGTGCCACATAATAAACTACATACTATATGCTTGCTTTCTTGAACCGTACTGGGTAATATTCAGTTTACACTCGTTCGATTTTGTATGCACCTCGCTGCGCTCTGTCCTTACTGTCACGACTTCGGGTCAATAATCCTCGGTACGGCCCTCGTGCTCGATTATTAAGAATAATGCTGTAACTGGAGAAGTTCTGTTTTAGCTACCAAAGTGGGGCTGTTTCGCTGATTGAAATACAGTTCTATTTTTGGGTCTAATTTGGCCCTTCTAGAAAAGGGTTGTTTTAGCCCGATTGCAGTTTTGGAGTCAATTCTTTCTTTAGAGAGAATGAAAATTGATTTCTATTTTGTGGCCAATTTAAGTAAACTTATGTTACAAAACAACGTAGATAAATGGCTAAATGGGCATCATAAGGACTGGAATGATGCTCATGACAGGAGCTGTTTTGAAGAACTATGTAAAACAGCCTCTGAAAAAAAAACTAAAGTGGTTGTTATATGATGTAAATAGGCCTCACTTCAGCCATTTCATATCTGTACCATGTAGTTGAATGGCTTCGTATGCAGCGCAAGTTTGAGTTGAGTTCACACGTGAAATTTCAGACCAAAATTGCACAACATGAAGTTCAATTACCACTTCATTACATCCATTTTGAAATCACAAATTCAGTTTCTATTTAGGATTTTTTAGTCTGTACAAATGTTTTGTTGATCCCGCAGTGAGCTTGTTTGTAGAAAGTTGCAAAAGTTGTTTTTTCATTTTCCTGCAATTTGATTTATTTCTTTAAACAAACAATGGGTTGCTGTATTTTAGTTGATGTAACAAATAAACACATATATATACACCCGTTTTTTAAATAAATACATATATATACACCTTTTTTTATCCATTAGGTGTTAACAGAACAAATTATAAGTACAATTTTTCAAAACTAAGTACAATAGTTGCTGTCCAAATGACAAAAAAATAGTATTGCTCCTTTGACGTGGAATATACATGTATCGTGCATCACCTTATTTTTTTTCCTGCCAAAATATTGCTTACAGTATACACTTACATGTAAGACATAATAAAGCTATACTTAGATCTCTACGTTACATACGTTACATACTTTACTGACATAATAGTTTTTTCTTCAGTTTCCACTTACGTAAGAATTTTCCCCTATGAGTAAAGTCAGATGCCAGTTTTTTCAATGTTGTATTGAAACTTTAAGTAGTACGTCTGTAAAATCGGGGTTATGTCCTTCCATAAACATAACCACTGTAAAATCCAGTTCAGCTGCATTTTTACAGGCAAGCAGATTGTGTGGCCCGAGAAAAACAGATTCAAGGGAGAATTCAACTTCAATTTAAGTTACTTCCTAAATCCAATTAGTGATAGCGCTCCAAAGTTGAAAGATCCGGTAAAAAGTTAACAATTAGAAGCCCTGCACCTACGAAAACTGTAAAATGATCAACCAATGCCTAAAAGAAAGGATTCCACGGCTTAAAAAGCTTCAATCCTAACTGGCATATATTTTGATCACAGTAGTGTAGAGCTAGGGGAAAATTAATCATTAAAAGAATCGCACCTACATGTACTGTTAAATAATCAACCAATACAGAAAGGATTCCTCAGCTAAAAAAGGCTTCAATCCTAACTGGCATACATCTTGATCACAATAGTGTAGAGCAAGGGGAAAAGTTAATCATTAAAAAAATTGCACCTACATGTACTGTTAAATAATCAATCAATACAGAAAGGATTCCTCAGCTAAAAAAGGCTTCAATCCTAACTGGCATACATCTTGATCACAGTAGTGTAGAGCAAGGGGAAAAGTTAATCATTAAAAGAATTGCACCTACATGTACTGTTAAATAATCAATCAATACAGAAAGGATTCCTTGGCTGAAAAAGGCATCAATCCTAACTGGCATACATCTTGATCACAGTAGTGTAGAGCAAGAGGAAAAGTTAATCATTAAAAAAATTGCACCTACATGTACTGTTAAATAATCAATCAATACAGAAAGGATTCCTCAGCTAAAAAAGGCTTCAATCCTAACTGGCATACATCTTGATCACAGTAGTGTAGAGCTAGGGGAAAAGTTCATCATTAAAAAAATTGCACCTACATGTACTGTTAAATAATCAATCAATGTCAGACAGAAAGGATTCCTCAGCTAAAAAAAGGCTTCAATCCTAACTGGCATACATCTTGATCACAGTAGTGTAGAGCTAGGGGAAAAGTTCATCATTAAAAAAATTGCACCTACATGTACTGTTAAATAATCAATCAATGTCAGACAGAAAGGATTCCTCAGCTAAAAAAGCCTTCAATCCTAACTGGCATACATCTTGATCACAGTAGTGTAGAGCAAGGGGAAAAGTTCATCATTAAAAAAATTGCACCTACATGTACTGTTAAATAATCAATCAATACAGAAAGGATTCCTTAGCTAAAAAAAGGCTTCAATCCTAACTGGCATACATCTTGATCACAGTAGTGTAGAGCAAGAGGAAAAGTTAATCATTAAAAAAATTGCACCTACATGTACTGTTAAATAATCAATCAATACAGAAAGGATTCCTCAGCTAAAAAAGGCTTCAATCCTAACTGGCATACATCTTGATCACAGTAGTGTAGAGCTAGGGGAAAAGTTCATCATTAAAAAAATTGCACCTACATGTACTGTTAAATAATCAATCAATGTCAGACAGAAAGGATTCCTTAGTTAAAAAAAGGCTTCAATCCTAACTGGCATACATCTTGATCACAGTAGTGTAGAGCTAGGGGAAAAGTTCATCATTAAAAAAATTGCACCTACATGTACTGTTAAATAATCAATCAATGTCAGACAGAAAGGATTCCTCAGCTAAAAAAGCCTTCAATCCTAACTGGCATACATCTTGATCACAGTAGTGTAGAGCTAGGGGAAAAGTTCATCATTAAAAAAATTGCACCTACATGTACTGTTAAATAATCAACCAATACAGAAATGATTCCTCAGCTAAAAAAGGCTTCAATCCTAACTGGCATACATCTTGATCACAGTAGTGTAGAGCAAGGGGAAAAGTTAATCATTAAAAAAATTGCACCTACATGTACTGTTAAATAATCAATCAATACAGAAAGGATTCCTTAGCTAAAAAAAGGCTTCAATCCTAACTGGCATACATCTTGATCACAGTAGTGTAGAGCAAGGGGAAAAGTTAATCATTAAAAAATTGCACCTACATGTACTGTTAAATAATCAATCAATACAGAAAGGATTCCTCAGCTAGAAAAAGGCTTCAATCCTAACTGGCATACATCTTGATCACAGTAGTGTAGAGCTAGGGGAAAAGTTCATCATTAAAAAAATTGCACCTACATGTACTGTTAAATAATCAATCAATGTCAGACAGAAAGGATTCCTCAGCTAAAAAAAGGCTTCAATCCTAACT